ATCTGTAGCCTGGTATATAGTGTGCATTAAATAATATAAATACAGCCTACTCTGTGTAAGATGTATATAGGCCTCTATCTGTAGCCTGGTATGTGGTGTGTATGGGGGGAAGTGAAGACGTCAACATATCTCATGTTCACTCTCCTTTTTCTTTTTTAATGGCATGACAAGGCACTAGTGCTGCAGCAGCAGCAGCATGATGCAGCCTCTCTCTGCAGAGGATGACAGACTGCTGCTATCTGGGTCCTCCCCTCCGGCCCGGCGTGGTCCAACCGTCAGCCGGGTGGGGGGCCACGATAAGCCCGCCGCCCGCCCTCCCGCCCGCTGCTGCGGGGCCCAGATCTCCCCCACCAACACCATCCTCCCTCCCCCATCCTCCCCCCCCCATCCCCACTATCATCCTCTCCCCCCCCCCCCCTGCGCGGACCGGACCGCACCACCCACCGGACTCGGGGGGGGGGGGGGGGTCCTCTCCCCGTGGACAAACAAACGATACGTCAATACGATTAAACAAAAATAAAATAATAACTTTTATAATACTTTTTAAATTATTATTATTGTTATATCTTTTTTTGTCACCGGTTCCGGGTTTTCCGCAGCTGGCGGTTATGTTGTTTTGTCAATTGGGCCGGACCAAGGCCCATATATGGACGGGCGGGCGGGAAGCGCCGCGGAGGAGGAGTCACGTGGTGGTGGAGACGGAGCAGGCGCACTATCACACTAGCACACGGGTCACTTCCGGCGGCGTCCGGAAGCTGTAAAGGGAAATCTAAAAACAAAAGTCCTGCGTGGTTCATCATGTTCATACATGTTGTACACAGACTAGCGGTCCTAAATACTGCACGTTTTCTGTCTTGTTGATGGCTACTTCTCCATTTCCACTGGCAGAATTATTAGGATATTATTTGTATGACATTTTGTCTTTTATTTTATTTACTTATACTGCCTAGAAAGGAGACAGACAGAGATAGGCTATAACCCACATATTGTTATTATATTATATTATATTATATTATAACCTCACTGTCAGTTCACTACATAATGACCCATAGCATGTCCCGCCTGCGGGGAAACACTTTTATCACTTTTAACACTTTTACTTTTTTTTTTTTTATTCAACCGCTACACAGCCTATATGATTAAAAGTGTAGTATATGCCTATGTGTGGTCGTTCTACTTTAAGCAGGCTTGTTTCTAGTTTGTGTTTATGTTATAGGCCTATATGGGCCTAGGTAGCCCATTATTCATGTTTCTCTCTACTGTTTTCATTTTTTTAATTTGTATTTATTTTGTTGTTTCCCCTTAAGTCTCATCATGTGTACATGCCGTCCTGATCCAGTAAGCAGGCTCCAGGCTGTGTGTCCAGTAACGCCTGCGGGCCGCGGGACTCGAACCCTGGAGCGCCGCCCGCACCAAGCTTTGCATAGGACTCATTTGCAAAACAAATGAACTTCTCAGCACACACACACACACACACACACAAAGACACTGTCTGTGTGTGGCGTGGGTGTGTGCGTGTGTGTGTGTGTGTGTGTGTGCGCGCGTGTGTGTGTGTGTGTGTGTGCGTGTTTACAGATGTTTAATTATTTTCCAAGGTGTTTCTTGGTTTCGTGGTTCCTTTAAATGCAGAGATTGGACCGACGGGTTTCTATCTGCTGACCGGACAGCCGAACACGTTCTCGGTTCTGGTCCATTTCAACGTGACACGTTTTCTTCATGTCACATGAAAAATGCATGTTTTATTTTTTCTTTCAGTAATCTGTAGCCTATATAAAACAAGAAACGTATACACGTATATAAACATTTATAAACATAAGATCACAGAAAAGTAGGATATAACATAGCCTACTATAATAATAATAATAATAATAATAATAATAGGCCTAATAATAATAATAATTATTATTATAGGCCTAATAATTATTATTATAATAATAGGCCTAATAATAATAATAATAATAATTGGCCTAATAACAGAGAAACATTTTCAAGCACACATAACACGGAAATAATCACGACACCGCAGCTGCATTTCCAAGCAGCTAAATCTTTTTTTTTCTTTTCTTTTCTTTTGTATTACAACGGCTAAAAAAAAAAAAACAAGCAATCAGTGAAAAGAGCGCATGCGCGTCAACGTGACGCCGCTATCTGGCGCGGGGATCTGAGGTGTAGGAACAGGACCCACGTCCTGTTGGTGCTGGTTCCGCCCCCTCCACGGAACGCCGACCTGCCATTGGCTGGCTGTGCAGGAGTGTGATTTGCCTGCACGCCCAGGATGCTGCGGGCCAGACGTAACTGTCGCAGCGGGCCGCATTGCCCAGCAGGTACTGCAGCCCACAGGTGATTTGCATGCAGCACAGGCCTCAGATTTGTTTACCAACCGAACCTAACAGAATGCCACCTGTTTCTGACACGTTCAGTGATTTCTGCTTTACACACCAAAACCAAAAATAAATAAATAAAAATAATAATAATAATAATAAAACCCACCCACATGTGTCACCAACACAGGGCGTAGGCCTCCCTCAACAGCCACACATGAACTGCTGTGGTTACTCCCTGTTTTCTTTTCTTTCTTTTCTTTTTTTTTTTTTTTTTTTTACTTTTGCAAGATTTGAGCAGATGAAACCCGCCCCCCTTTTCCATAAGACCACTGAACGGTTTAAAACACACACGCACACACACGCACACAAGCACAAACACACACACACACACACAGACACACACACACACGCACACACACACACACACAGGCACACACACACATGCGCAGACACACACGCACACACACACACACACACACACATGCGCAGACACACACAGACACACACACAGACACACACACACAGGCACACACACACACAGGCACACACACACACACATCAAATCCTGTTGTTTAGGCCTCACACGTCAGATTTACCTAAAGTGGTGTGATTTGCCCGGGGCAGATGAATGGACGAACAGGTCCTGTGTTTGGGGAAGGTGGTGTAGTCGTGTCAGCAGCTCCATCTTGTTTGCTAAAGTAAATCCAACAGTACTGTGTCTTGTCTGGGTGTGGCGATGATGGCGGTTTGTCTCGCGATGGAAATCCCTTTTCCACAACCCCTCAATGGATATCCTTATCCGCGACAGGGAACTCAGCCACACACAGATAACCTGATACTTACACCAAGCACATTAGATGTCACTGTCTGAGATTATTGTATTAGAGTCTCATTTGGTTTTACGCTGACTTTACATGATTAACTCATTTATTTTGTCGAATACCAAACCACTGAAGTAGGCCCTATATTTCTTAAGACTACAATAGGCCTATTGCTGACCTAACAGTCCTCTGATGAAGCTAATTCTTATTTTGAAGTGACTTCAGAACAAAGAAGCTGTCTGGTTAGTATTTGCATGCTGTGGGTTGATTTGAATGCAGTATTGCTAGGTATACAGTAGGCCCTCACTCTGGTCCTCCAGGAGATTTTGTCCCTAGGCTCGTCAGTTATACGACATCCTGCACGACAGGAAGGTTACACACAGGAACACACGAGAACAAGACAAGATACGTGTAAACATATTATTTTTCATCTTACTAAGCAAACGCACCGGCGCCATTTTGTCATGGTGGCCTACATTAGGCTGCTGTCGTTGGCTGTCAGATAAATGTTGAAAATATGATGATTTCAATCAAACAGACAAAGATTTATTTTCTTATGCCATCACACTTTATTAAGCAGGGTTTTTCTTCGGAATCACGCATATATATTTACACTTCAACAGTCATTTCACATGGATTAAATGCCAAAAACCTACTTGATGTTTTAAATAATAATAGTATTAACAATAACAATAATAATACATTGTATTTATAATGCACTTTTCATAAAATAAACTCAAAGTGCAAAAGAGAGACTCGTTTGAATAAAAAACATTGAATCTCTTTAAAAATGTAAATAATTTAAAAGAACATTCCTTGAGATTGATATCAAAACTCTTCATTTCGTGTACAAGTCATCAAATGCTCCTGTTTGACTACAGCACGTGCATCTGGAGATTCAGGAACAAGTATGACATGAATGACATGAATTGCATGATCTTCCTAGCCTGCTTTAGATAAAAATATACAAATATATTCAAAGGAAACAAATTATCCACAATGTCCTTTCTATATGTGGGCCTACTCGTTTCACATGAGATTTCACATTATCTCACTTGGTGTTTTTTTTTATTGCCCTCGATAGCCAACAATGTTTCACACCCTGATAGTGGTTCCCATTCTTTTTTGACCCCATGACCCCGCTTTTAGTTTGAAAATGTTTTACCAACCCCAACTCACTGACATCTTTGTCCACACACACATCGTTTTAATAAACACACATGTGCCCATAATATCAATGTCCCTGTGAACGTATGCGTGCATCTGAAACGTATATACAGGACCTTTATGCAACCTTTTTAAACGCGCTGTTTGTTTATGTTAATCATCCAGACAGCAATCTCCCCTACAAGCATATCAGGCGGCCGTAAGTGGGGACCCGACCCACAGGTTGGGAAACCGAACACTTCCATATCAGGTCCTTGTCTTTCGAACTCCTTGGACCCCCGTCACAGAGCCTACGACGTCCCCTGGTCCGGGGCCCCTGGTCCGGGGCCCCTGGTCCGGGGCCCCTGGTCCAGGGTCCTTACTTGAGGCCGTGCTGGCTCTCGTGATGGCGACGGAGATCCACCTTGCGCTGGAAGCCCTTGCTGCAGATCTCGCAGCCGAACGGTTTGAAGCCTGTGTGTTTCCGGCTGTGGGTGATGAGGTTGGAGCTCTGGCTGAAGGCCTTGCCGCAAACCTGGCATTTATGGGGCTTCTCACCTGACAGGGGAAAAGGAGAAAACGGTTGACTACTTAAGTCCCTGAGCGGACACTTTCCTCTGAGGCAACTTGGTTCAGAGTGGATTTTTTTTTTTCAGATACATGTCATTCAAGAGCAGGTATAGAGGGGGTTTAGGGGGCATCTTGCTCAAGGACGGACATTGGGGTTCGAACCCAGAACCTTTCAATCAGTAGGTGTTGAACACCCACCTAACCCACCACTAGGCTATCCGGCCCCCATAAATGAGAATGTGGCCTTGTTGTTATAATGAAATCCGCTCTTGGATTTTTCGATAGTCTTTCATAAACTTGTCGCTTTGTACGAAACATTCGTTGGCTGTTCGGTGTGGTGTCGGAGACAATATTCATATTCGTTATGGTGTCTATAACATAAAGATAAAGATACATAAAGATAACACGGCATAGCCCTGCACCCGAGGAATAAAGAATCGTACCATTGTTCAGATTTGTCAAACATTCATCGACGGGACATAGACGACTGCATACAGTTCCTTATACGCCTCCTATATGCAAATCTATGGCACATTTGTTTAATTTTCTTTTTTCTGATTTATCTGCAGTCATTTTACTCTTGGAAGTAGATATCACTTGAAGCCAGACTAGGAAATACAGAGGAATAGAGGCTCAACAGGCACAATCAAACTGCTTTCTACTGTAATCTCGAGCAATTTGAATAATTGCCAACTGATATCCATACCGGACACGTTGGTGTGGAAAGAAAAGAGAAGGGGGGATTCTTGGAAGAGCGAAAAGGAATGGTTTTATGTTTTAGACCGAGTTTCCTAACCTTTTTAGCCCCACAACCTCATCATTACCCCTTCATCAACACCAAACCAAAAATGTACAACTAATACTAGTTACTAATACTAGTACTATTATCATTCAGTCATCATTATCATCATTATTATTAATATTATAGTGGCCTATAGGTGCTTCAAATGGAATAAGCTGAGGCGTACTTCTATTTCTGGTCTTGGAAAGATATAATATTCAACTCATTCCGCAAATATTAATACTTAACATCATTTCTATTTTGTATAACAAACCAAAATGTAAGTCTTTACAAGTCGCCCCTGGAACCTGCTCACTTAGCGCCCCTGAGGGAGGCGTGGCCCCGGTTGGTAGTCCCTGTTTGCAGCCGGGAGGCGGGACTCACCGGTGTGTATGTATGTGTGCTTCTTCATGTCGGACTTCTGGTGGAACCTCTTTCCGCAGTACTGGCAGGGGTAGGGTCTGGTGTCTGAGTGGATGAGCAGGTGGGTGGACAGCGTGGATGACCGCTTGAACGTCTTCCCGCACATTTTGCACTCAAAGCTTTTCTCCTGAAACCCCCGGGAAAAACATTGAACAAACTTTGTTAAATTCGTGGGAGAGTCGTTGGACTTTTCCGCCAAAAAAATCGGAGAAAAGTTTGACGATTGACGTCACAAGTCTCTCTATTGGTCCAAAATGGACCAATGACGTCGATGGTCCAACCTTTCTGCGATTTTTGGGCGGAAACAGAGTGGATGTCGCAGACTGCGATTTTTTCACAACCCGCGAATGAAGCAGTACTCTCTCATATTAGAAAATAACAGAGTGGGACAGTTCCCCTTTAAACAACTATATGTAAAGCAGTTGTGTGTGTGTGTGTGTGTGTGTGTGTGTGTGTGTGTGGGACGGGGGTTATTATAGGATGCGTGTACCTGGGAGTGGACGTTCATGTGTTGCTCCAGGCTGACGGCGTGGCCGAAGGTCTTGCGGCAGATGTTGCAGCCGAAGGGCCGCGTGCCACTGTGGGAGCGCCGCACGTGCACTTCCAGCCCGTGAGGCGTCGAGAACACCTGCAACGCAAACAATATTTATTTTTTAAAGACCATGTAGTTACTCAGCAGGACAACACAACACTTCAATACGACACAACAATATGAGGCTGAAATGCATTTACATGTATTCATATAGCAGGCGATTTTATCCAAAGTGACTCCCATTATGTAACAGATCCGTTGGTTATGGTTTGTGGTTTAGGTTTAAGGTCAAAATGGTTAGGTTGAGGTATAGTTATGGAGGTAATGTCGATAAATATCACAATATGCTTATGAATTCAATATACCATTCTAAACAGTCTAACTGAGGGTCATTACATTAAAGAATATGGAAATGTAAAGTTTTTCTTTCTCACAAACGTTTCAAAGTGGACCTCTTCATTTCATGCCGATACAATACCATTCAAAGACGATACTACTGAATTATTGCCCGGCCCTTCGTAAAAGACTACAGGAAATGGTTCTCCCACCTTCTCGCAGGTGATGCAGTGGTAGGTCATGGAGGTGGGGGAGTACTGGGGGCTGTAGTCCAGGGGCTGCTGGGGGGTGGGGCTGCGGCTGAGGCGGTCGCCATACAGACCGCTGGCGTGCTGCAGGAGCGTGGGGCTGAAACTCATCTGCCGCAAGTCGTAGGAGCAAGCCAGCGGGTCCCACGCCATCGACGCCTTGTAGTACGGAGAGAACTCGGGCATGTGCGGTTCTGACAGGGAAAAATTACTCAAATGTTATAATTCATGACTAATATAGAGTATATATACTTAATAATATAGGCTAATTGTCTTATTCTGCACTGGCATAGGCCTATGCTTTCACCTTCATATTTACTTTTATTTTACTTGTATCTTTTAAATTATTGTCTTTTATTGCCTTTTGATGATTCCTTTACAATGTCTTTGGCACTCTGAAATGCCTTTGTGTTTAATAAAAAATATATTATATAATATATCCACATGAATACAAACTAATTGATGTGTTAATAATCAATCAATTCATTAATAAAACATCAATTCGTAATTAATTGATTAGGCTAAAAAGGAAACTGTGTTTCCTTACCGGCCAGGTAGAAGGGTTGCCTAGCGGGCTCCGCGTGCACAGGTGTGCAGGACGGCTCCTCCGCGTCATGGCGGCTGCTGGGACTCTCGGCCAGGTGAGGCGGGCCCCCGGAGGACGGCCTCGAGGAGGAGTCCGGACTGGACTGGGCCGGGTCCGACGGGTCGACTGTTTGGTTATAGCGAGGTCAAGACCTTCAGTCATTTCAAACTTTCGTTTTCCCTCACAAAACGAATTTAAAAACTTTTTGAATTACCGGAGCAGAGGGATTTAATTGTATTGTGTTTCATGTAAACACTTCTCATACAGAACTGGTCTACTGAGGTCTTACTGGCAATTAAAAAAATTAACAATCAGCAAATAGGCCTACAAGTTGTGTGTCTGTTTAGTCCTTAAGTCCTATATGCCTGGACATGACAGCTGCAGGCCTCGCGTAAATACAATAGCCTAAGATCCGCAAGTCGACCACATTTGGACATAAAATGAACCGTTGCGCTATTCTCTCTCTATATATATATGGATGTGCCAGCCTGTATGTGTCCTTACCTGCGTGCCCGGCAGCCGGTCCGTCCTCATAGGATCTGTACACATTATGAGACGCGGACTTTTTCTTTTTCACCAAAAACGACCGTGGCATGTTGAGTCTGAGGAGACGCACTGAGAAGATCAACACCAACAATATACCTAAATATACATAAATATACATAAACATAGCCTACCTAAATATACATACATATACGTATATATATATATATATATATATATATATATATATATATATATATATATATATATATATATATATATACATATATATATATATATATATATATATATATATATATATATATATATATATATATATATATATATATATATATATATATATATATATATAGCCTATATATATATATATATATATATATATATACTTATATATAGGCTAGGTGTATTTTTAGCACTCGTTATAAACGTATAATGCCTAGATGGTAAATAGGCCGTCCAGATAATTATTCTTTCATGAACTTCAACAAAAAAGCAGTGTTAAAGTTAAAATAGCAGCAGCCCGCGTATTAATCACATTAACCGGTGTTCATTATGACAACAAAATCAGCATCAAACTTTACAAAAACTACAAAACGCAGTGTGCGCATCATGAGTTGCGCTGTGAAAGTACAGCGAGTCCATATACTGTGCCTTTTTACTCACCTTGTGTTTTTTAACGAAATGAAAGCAAGTCTAGGCCTAATCCTGGATATATATATAATAGTCTCCAGAAAGGCGCAGGGAGCGTAAGAAACGTGTTGTTAAATCCAATCCCCAAATTCAAACACCAAACCACAGTAAAGCATCGCACTTGCGGCCCCTCTTCTCCCCTCCCTGATTTCCAATCAGATAATTTGCGCTGGAATCTGACTGTGGTTTCAGCCAATGAGAGGGCCAACCAGCGGGGCCGCATTTGCGTAAGACAACAGTCCCTGGAAATTACAAGGACTATTTAAACCCGCAGGAGAGAAAGACGACACGTAAAATAAAAAATTAAAAAATACATCGATAGAGGTTTGACCGAACAACTGTTATTCACTGAATGAGTCCTGTGCTCAACTAAAATAAGGCCAATTGGCTATTGGGGGTCCTAATTGAATCGTCAATAGCCTACATAGATTGATTGATTTTTATTAGGAATTCAAAAGTACAAAACAACTCCAAGAAGTATCAAGATACAATAATCCCAGAGGATAGCAATTGAAAGCATTACTTATAACACTTATTTCCAAAGTGGTCCTCGATAGACACAAACAATACATGGAGACAAACACATCGATAAAAACAACATATAACAACATAAACCCACTAGTCCCCCTTGCCCCCCCCCCCCCCCCCAGGGTTCAAACTCCCATCAAGGTGAACCATCAACCCTCCCACATAGCTGCCTTAACATTTGTTTTAGATAATGTCCTTTGTTTGGCTTTGTTTAGTAGTAGTAGTAAAATACATTTGCCCAAACTATAATAGGCCTGACTAATATGCCCAGATATCAGGTGACAGTGTGAAGCTATCATCAGTTCAAATCAAAAAAACATGAGCGACACACCATGTTTGGTCTCCATGATTCGTGAGATTTGGGCTCCAGGCTCGGGGGCCCCTCCATAGACACACACACCAAACTAGTCACAGGGATTAACCATGTTGATCTACACCTGTCCGCTTGTTTGTCCCACTTCTTCTTCTTCTTCTTCTTCTTCTTCTTCTTCTTCTTCTTCTTCTTCTTCTTCTTCTTCTTCTTCTTCTTCTTCTTCTTCTTCTTCTTCTTCTTCTTCTTCTTCTTCTTCTTCTCGGACTGACTGATACTGATATTG